AGTGGCTTTCCTTGGGCATCCTAGTGAGGGAGCTACCTTTTTTTTTTTCCTCCATATAGAGCCAAGAGGTCAGTTGCTTTCTTGAGTATCTCCTTTCTGTTTGAGAAATGAGACTTAGTGGGCTCATTTTACCTTGCTAGTCGTAAAGTCCTAGTTGACGAGCTCCCAAATGGCAGTATCATGCTAGAGAGCCTCAAAGCCTCACTGAATCAGGCATCAGTTTCAACAAGAGCCCAACAGCAAGCTAATCCTTTCTTTTAAAAGGGAATGTGCCTTGCAGATGTGTCAGGGAATTGACAAGTACAAAACCACAAGGTATACCTTGTGGGTGGAGTCTGCCTCCCTCTGTCAGAAGCTCTACTCTGCATCCCTCTCAGATACTTGTAGTTCAGAGGGGTTGTTAAGAGTTGTAGGACCTTTGAAGCAGAGAGTGTGCCACAGCTTGATGGACAGCTTCCAGGGCAGCCTTTTGATAAGAACCCCACTTAAAAGATGCTCATTTTCAGATTAGCTAATATAAAGTAGAAAGTAGGATGCCCAAATGAGGTACATGCTGTCTCCGGTAACCCGAAAACCTACAGTAAGATGCTGATCCTCATTTTTGGTAGGGAGAGGGATGAGGTGAAGAAACCTAGTTTTTCTTTTACTGCTGGAGGAGTTGGGTATTGTGAATCCACCCACTTAGTCCCAAGAAACTTCACTTGGTGAGCAGACCCCTGAATTTTGTTGGAGGTTTATCAGCAGCACCTACTGGTGGAGGTGTGCTAACACTGAAATTGGGGTCTTTTGAGACAGACCTCTAGTTTGTAAGTCAACAGGACATCCATACAGTGTAAACTTTAGGCATCACAAAATAGAGACACTTGTGCTAAACTCTGACCAGCTGTCGGTGGCATCTGTCACGGGAGTTTCTTCCAGTAGCTCTTCACTACCTGTGGCTCTTTCCATTTGGGACAGTCCATCTCTGGTACTTAAAGAATAGAGCAACATAAATCGCAGACCAATTCCGGCTGTACATTCAGATGTCAAGGTAACACCAGTATGTAGGGTCAGCTCCACCTACAGGGTTAAGACAGCCTCCCATTCCTGCTGTGAACCTTGCCTAAACCCCTAAACCTTGACTGTAAGCGCCTCCTTTCCCTGTGGTAGGATGCTTACCTGGATACCTGACTAACAGAGCCATGAAAGTTTGAGTCTCCCACTCCTGAGTTTCCCTCAACATACTTGGATGGGTATATGGGGTCTTCACTATACCTTCGGGAACAGGGAGACCTTGACTCCACCTCTAATTACCTTCCTGTAAGCAGGTGAAGTCAGGGCATCAGGGGAGGGGAGGTAGAAGAGAAAGAGAAATGGAGGGAGAAAATAACTCCATGCCAGTGAGCAAGGCACATTTACTTTTGGTTTCAGGCAGCATAGAAGCTGTGTGCAGCTTGACTAAACAAATAAGTGTTAGCCCATTCAAAGCTCTCTATCAGGCAGCAAGGTCATCATTACTGACATCATCTATTTCAGTTTTGGCGACCCCTTGATTCAACAGCCTTGTCCACATTGCTTTTCAGTTGGGGTGGATTTTTAAATTGTGCACGTTTGGGAAGCCTGGCTGGCTCAGTCGGTTGAGCGTTGGACTCTTGACTTCAGCTCAGGTCATGGGATCAAGCCTCATGTCAAGCTTTGTACCAAGCATGGAGCCTGCTTAGGATTCCCTTCTTTTCTCTCTCCCCCACTTGTACTCTCTCTCTCTTTAAAAAAAAAAAAAAAAAAAAAAAAAAAAGTATACCTTAATCCTAGACATTTGCTGCCCTGTTGTTACAAAAACATCTCTTATGTTTTTACCTAGTTTAACACACAAAGGTTAACAACCTGACCACAGGAGTTTATGTTGTTTTGGATTCTTATTCCCTAGTGACTCATCTTCATCAGCATTGTAAAATCCAGTTGGCAGAAGACTTACTAGACAGTGGCTCATCCCAGGAGTTTGTCTTGAAGAGCTCCCAAAGAGCACTGTGGCACCTTTATGGCAGCCAGGACACATTGCAGGAAAAAACCTGAGACCTTTTGCTGTCCTCTCCAAATGGATCTGAGGTGGAGATGACACTGCAGTAGCGTGAGCCCTGACCAGGTGTTGCCGTTCTTCCTTGGCAAGCTTCGTGTCCCCCTCACCTCTCATGTGGACTAGCCAAAGTTCTAATGACTCAACTTGTTTTTGTTAGTAGCAGTGGCAGATTTCCCTCTTGTCACCCTTGGTTTAGATAACTTGTCTGTAAGGGGGTGAGACCTTCTGTCTCCACCCCTGCTCCCACTTGGGAATCTTCGTTGTTCTGATGGATTGGACTTAAGACTGACCACTAGGTTGGCAGAGAGGTTCTCTTCCAATCCTGGGAGAGTTTGCAACAACCAGGGATCCATTCTAGCAGCTGTCCTTGAACTTACTGCCCAGTACTCATCCTGCAACCACCCTCCTAGTTTTTCCTTACTCATGGATGTTTTAGTTTTCTGAGGCTGACATAACAAAGTACCACCAACAGGGTACAACAGAAATTTAGTGTCTCATGGTTCTGGAGGCTGGAAATCCTAAACAACGGAATTGGCAGGGCCATGCTTCTCCTTCTCCTTTTTTAAAAAAAAAAAATTTTTTTTTAATGTTTTGTTTATTTCTGAGAGAGAGACAGCATGAGCAGGGGAGGGTCAGAGAGAGAGAGAGGAAGACACAGAATTTGAAGCAGGCTCCAGGCTCTGAACTAGCTGTCAGCACAGAGCCCGATGCGGGGCTCGAACCCACGAACCATGAGATCATGACCTGCACCGAAGTCGGACGCTTTACCGACTGAGCCACCCAGGCGCCCCAGGGCCATGCTCCTTCAAAAGCCTCTAGGGGAGGATACTTCTTTGCCTCTTCTAGCTTCTGCAAGCCCCAGGTGTTCTTGGCTTGTGGCAGTATGACTCCAGTCTTTGCCTACATCTTGATTCACGTTGCTATCTTCTCTTTGTATGGCTTTCTTTTGCGTGTGTCCATTGTACCTCTCCTTACAAGGACAGAGTTGTATTAGAGGAGGCCCACTCTAATGACCTCACCCTTGATTAAATCAACAAAGACTGATTCCCAAATAAGGTTCCATTTACAGGTATGAGGGGTCAGGACGTTTTGAGGGACACAGTTGAACTCAAAGCAGTAGGCAACTAAACAGAAGATCGTGCATTGCCCAGTTGATCATACAGTTTGGTCAGCATGTTTACTGCCAGCCCCAGTGGACTTCCTCAAATCCCATTAATTGCTCTGTGAGTCCTTATCCTTTGTCTTTTTCAGCATCCTCTTCTTTTTGCCAAAACCTGGTAAGAACTGTGGCAGATCTGAGATTTTACCGTATTTGCAAGCCAACAGTTTATCCTGCACAGTTTCATGGATACTGATAGAGGATATGAGACTGTTAGGTTAGAAAGATTTTCATTTTTGCGCAGCAAGCAGCATGAGTTTTGTATTTGTGCCGGTTTTTCCTTCTCCCCCACAGGGGTGACATAGAGTGGCCCAGGTGAAAGCTGTGCCTATGGTTGGTTTACAGCCAAAGAAACCCCAGCTTGGGAAGCCCAATCTTAGATAATGGGCTGCAAGCAGATCTGACTGACCATCGCCGAAGAGGGATATTATTATATGGACAGTAAGCAAAGCTGCCCTCCGCTCTAGAGGGAGCCACACACTCTGTCTTTCCATATTGCTGGCTCTACTGCAGACATCTTGAAGAGAGTCCAGAACAAAAGTTGTCAGTTCAGAAGATATGCAGAAACATGAGACTCATGGATAATTGTCACCTACTAGTTTTCACTGTGTTTATTGGATTGTGAGATTTCTTTTTAAACTGACTATACAAGACGTTTGGCAGATATATGTGTGCACATGTTTTGTTCTGGTCTGTGGTTTGCCATTTTATTTGGTTTGTGGCTTGCCTTTTTGTTGTTAACTATTTCAAAGGACAAAAGTTTTTAATTTTGATGAAATCTCTTTAGTTAATTTTTGCTATTAAAGTTTCTGCTTCTGTGTGCTATTTAAGAAATCTTTTAGTATGGGGCGCCTGGGTGGCTTAGTCGGTTAAGCGTCCGACTTTCGCTTAGGTCATGATCTCGCGGTTCGTGGGTTCGAGCCCCGCGTTGGGCTCTGTGCTGACTGCCGGCTCAGAGCCTGGAGCCTGTTTCTGAGTCTGTGTCTCCCTCTCTCTCTGACCCTCCCCTGCTCACGCTGTCTCTCTCTCTCCTAGAAATAAATAAAAATATTTAAAAAAAAAAAAAATCTTTTAGTAGCCCAGTGTTATAAACTTTCTCCTATTTTTTCTAGAAGTTTACTTGTTTTAGTTCTTCCATTAAAGTTTGTGATCCATTGGGGTGCCTGGGTGGCTCAGTCAGTTGAGCGTCCGACTTCGGCTCAGGTCATGATCTCACAGTTCGTGGGTTCGAGCCCCGTGTCGGGTTCTGTGCTGACAGCTAGCTCAGAGCCTGGAGCCTGCTTCAGATTCTGTATCTCCCTCTCTGACCCTTCCCTGCTCACGCTCTCTCTCTCTCTCTCTTTCTCAGAAATAAATTAAAAAAAATTTTTTTTTCAAAAGTCTGTGATCCATTTTAATTTTTGTGTGTATGATTTGAAAGTGATGGTTGAGATTTGTTTTTTCCAATTAAAGACTAGTTGTCCCAGCACCAATGTTTAAAGATTCTTTCCACCATAAAATTATCTTGGAACCTTTTATCAAAAATCAGTTAACTGAATGAATGTGAGTCTACTGATGGACTTTAGTCTGTCCCATGAATCTTCATGTCTGTCCTTTCACCATTATCGCATCTTAATTCAGTGCATCTCTATAGTAAGTCTTGAAATCAGGTAGCGTAAGTCTTCCAAGCTGGTTTTTCGCCTTTCCATGTAAATTGTACTTTGAGCTCACCAGTTTTTTCCCAAAAGCCTGCTAGGATTTTGATTGACCTTAGAGATTTTTAAATCCGTACATTCTATATTTCAGGAACAAAGAAAACTCGGCTCCACTAGAGGAAAATACCACAGGAAAAAGTGAAGCAAAAAAAAGAAAGATTGCAGAAACTTCAAATGTTATCACGGAGTCATTGCCATCTGCAGAGTCGGAACCTGTTGAAATTGAGGTGGAGATTGCCGAAGGCACGATCGAAGTAGAAGATGAAGGCATCGAAACATTGGAGGAGGTGGCTTCTGCCAAGCAGTCCATAAAGTACATTCAGAGCACAGGTTCCTCTGATGATTCTGCCCTCGCACTGTTGGCAGATATTACCAGCAAGTACCGACAAGGTGATAGGAAAGGGCAGATCAAAGAAGAAGATGGTTGTGCCTCTGACCCCACAAGCAAACAGGTAGAAAGTATTGAAATTGTGGAACTTCAGCTGTCACATGTGAAGGACTTGTTCCATTGTGAGAAATGTAACCGTTCATTTAAATTGTTTTACCATTTTAAGGAACACATGAAATCACACTCCACTGAGAGTTTCAAGTGTGAAATATGCAATAAAAGGTATCTTCGGGAGAGCGCATGGAAACAGCACCTCAACTGTTACCACCTCGAAGAAGGTGGAGTCAGTAAGAAGCAAAGAACTGGGAAAAAAATTCACATATGTCAATACTGTGAAAAACAGTTTGACCACTTTGGACATTTTAAAGAGCATCTTCGAAAACATACAGGTAATTAGCAAATACTTTATGTTAAAAGTATATTTTTCCACATTCACTTCAGGTCTAAATGTCTAAATCCTTTTTTATTTTTTTTTATTAGTACTACAGACATCATCTGTTTTTTCTAATATGCAGGCTGAGTTCACATTGTTCTTTTGGTATTAGTTTGTTGAGATATTGATACTCTACAAGCAAAATCGGTATCCACTTTGAAAGTAGTTGTCACTCTTGTACCTTGCCAATTTTTATATTTTTAAAAGAAATACATATAACACAGCTTGTGGTTACTTATCAAGGGTGATAAGTTACAAAATCCTAATTATAGGGAAACTTCACTGTTCATAGATAAGTACGTTTACAAAAATCCCTGGAATGTTTATACATTTGTGTACACTTGGTCATCCGTTGTGACCTGGTGGCTAAGTAGGCAGTATATGTTCCTCTCCCCACACCTCTCCGAGGGCACACGGTGTCAGGACTGATGGAAGGCAGAGGAGATGGGGAAGGTATAAAGTCCTTACTGCCATCCTCCTGGGAGCCATCGCAGGGAGTCTCACTTTGGGCCTCTGGTCCTTCTGACTCTGCACCCGTCTCCCATGCCTGTTTTTCCCTGTCAGATTCCCTGGCCTTCCGCCTCTCAAGCTTTCTTTGCTAAGTCTCTTGTGCCACACATAGGAGCTTCTGCTGATGATTTGAATTGTGGGTGTGGAGAGAGCAGTGGATAAGGTGTGCCAAGAGTCAGACTCTGGACACTTGTTCCCAGGTTCTTCTCTGTGGTGGCTAAGGCTGTTTAGATTGTTTAATACAGTGAAGACAACGGAGGTATTCCATACTATTCAGCATCTTTCTATTTGCTGGAATTTGGAGAATTTTTTTTTTTTAACATTTATTTATTTTTGAGAGATCATGAGCAGGGGAGCGACAGAGAGAGAGGCAGTCACAGAGTTCGAAGCAGGCTCCATGCTCTGAGCTATCGGCACAGAGTGCATTGTGGGTCTCGAACCCATGAACTGCAAGATCATGACCTGAGCTAAATGAAGCCGGCTCCTTAACCAACTGAGCCACCCAGGTGGCCCTGGAGTTTCAAGAATTTTAAAGAAATTTTTTCGTAGATTCCTTGCTGTCTTGAGTTGCTTGCTGTATACTACTTGAAATTGAGGAAACAGATTCAGATAAATGTGGTATCCCTCACTTTTAAATGTTTAGAATCCATACTCAGGGACTGAATAAATGCCTAGGATCAATACTTAGTGGTTACATGAGTAGCAAGAGAATCTCCTACTTTAATTTCGTCTCAGTACAGATTTTAAAAGCTTTAGGGTACTAGTTTGGGTAACTAATAGGTGTTTATGAAATCTTTTGGGAAAATGCTTTCTGATTTTTCAAACATAGAGGTATATTGTGTGTTTAGAACCTGCCTGTAGTAATAGTTTTTAGTGCTTAAAACAGATATTCGTCTATTTTAATGTAGTTTTGCCAAAACGATTCCTATACCAGCAGCACATTAAACTAGTAAATAAATGTTAATTGGTAACTAGTGTGTTTTAATAAGTGTTTTCCATATCCCAACAGATAATCAGTCACTTTTATATTATTTTCTAACATTGTAAAAGTAGAAGCAATTGTTTCTTTTACCCAAACCACAACCTGGTGACTTGCCTGTTGAAAACGGGCAACACAAACTATTTTGGAACTTAAAATGTGCTTTCCAAGTCCTATACGTTGTATTTTGGATTAAACACAGAATACAGAGCTAAAGTATATTATGTTCTATGTTTTTATCTTTAAAATTATGTGAGATAATTAAGTTGTTACAAATTATAGGACTTGGGGTGCCTGGGTGGCTCAGTTGGTTAAGCGTCTGACTTCTGCTCAGGTCATGATCTCAGTTTGTGGGTTCTAGCCCTGCCTCAGGCTCTGTGCTGACAGCTCAAAGCCTGGAACCTACTTCGGATTCTGTGTCTTCCTCTCTCTCTGCCCCTCCGCTGCTCACACTCGGTCTCTCTCTCTCAAAACTAAAAATAAACATTTAAAAAAAAAACAAAAAAAAAAACACATAGGACTATATGTCGATTTGAAGAACAGTTTAATACATAAAGCAAACTGAACTTTTGTTGGCATTTAACCTCAATTAACTGTATTGGTAATTGGTAACAGGATAGTTGCAGATGTGATCAGTGACTTGGTGAATTCAAGAGGAGCATAAGTAAACAGTCTTAAATTGTGCTTATGTTATTAATAAAGGATATTTATTAATAATGTTTTTTGCTTATAACAAAGTGTAAAGATATGGAACAATCCTGTTCCTGTTTTCCTGCCCTCAAAATATACATAAATCTCCTTCAGTCTCACATTTTGCATACTTTTATTAGTTTAGTGGTTTGGTTTCTTCAATGTTCTTAATGCATGCACTGTAATCAGTGACTTGATCTGCACAGTTTTGTCTGTTACTTGTCTTCTGAATTACTTTGTTTCCATTTGGAAAATAATAATGGTAATGCCAACCTGCTAGGTCATGGAGGTAAAGGAATTTTAGAATCTCTGCCTTCAAGGAGCTCACAGTTATCCTGGGGGGGACCAGCAGGCACAGTCACATGGGACGGGCTAAGTGCTAAAAGAGGTAAGCACACAGTCTTATGGGAATGCCTGCCTGGACTGTTTGTTTATGATGGAAGAGACCAGGATAGTTTCCTGGAGCTTTCACCCTATAATGATGCCCAAAGGAAAAGGAGTTAGCCAGGGGATTGGCATTCCAGGCAAAAGAAATGAAGCATGCACAGCCATAGAGGAAAGAGAGGAAGCAACTTGTTTGGAATGTTGCTGGTGGGTTGAGGCTGGGGGATTGGGTCCAAGTAGAGGAATGCCAGCATGTGTGGCTGAAGAGTTAGGAAGGGCTGACCATGTGGCATGTACTTAGGCATCATGGACAGTCTACCAGTGGGTCAGAGATGAGAAAGTGATGGGAGATAGAGCCAAGATCATATATTTTCGTAAGTGCTGTAAATGAATTTGGATTTTATTTTGGAAAACTGAGTCATTTTAAAGAAGTTTAAACCAGGGTCAGATTTTTGTTTTAGAGTGATGACTGGAGGATAGAGTGGAGTGAGATGAAACCTATGAGGTCTAATTAGGAAGCTGTTGGAGCAGTCTAAGCAAGAATTAGGGGCTGAGCAAAGGCAGTGATAGTGAAAGAGGGTTGGAGATGTGAATAATATTAAGAAGGCAGAATCATGGAAACTAATTTGACAATAAACTATTTGTAAAAAAAATAAAAAAAAATTTAAAACATTAAAAAAAAAAAAAAAGGCAGAATCAACAGGATTTGGTGACCAGTGAGATATGGGAGTAAATCCTAGCTCTTTGGTTTGGATGGCTACACAGTTGGAGGTTTATGAACTTAGAAAAATATAGAAGGGTAAGCACTTTAGGGGAGGGAGGAGATACCAGAACTATTGATAGATTTACCTGTGGGACACCTCATGTGAAAGAGAACCTAAATGGTTGTACCTGGTTTCCCAGAGAGGTAATGTGGAATTATAGAAACAGTATAAGTCTGGAAATCTGATCAGATTCCAGCTCCGGTTCTAACATTTGACTGTATGATGACTTAAATGGTCGCTTTATCTCTGGCCTTTTTTCCTTGTCTGTGTAAATAAGGGTAAAAACCTACTTTACAGGGAAAAGCACTTTGAAGACTTTACTCTCCACACATCTAAAGTATAATTAATCTGTTGCTATTTCTAGATTTTATTGGACTTACTAAGCTAAGTTTTTAAAAAGCAAAAGCTCAAATGACATAAAAGCTGAAATGACATACAATGAAAAATGAATCTCGTTCCTACTTCAAATCTCTCCAAAAGCAGTTACTGCCATCGTTTTCTTATTTATCCTTCCATATCTATTCTTCGCGTTTTTGAGTAACCATACACAGGCGCACACACAGAGTTTTGGGGGGGAAACAATAGAGGCATGTAGTACAGTGTAATGGCATTTATGCTGAACTCTAAAATTTTTTAATGTTTATTTTTGAAAGAGAGAGATGGAAGGAAGGAGAGCGAGAAGGGCAGAGTGAGAGAGAGAGAGGGAGGGAGAGAGAGAATCCCAAGCAGTCTCCACACCCAGTACAGAATCTGACCCGGGCCTCGAACCCACGAGCTGTGAGATCATGACCTGATTTAACCTACTGAACCACCCAGGTCCCCCTGAACTCTTTTAATATATGAAAATTCAGGAATCTACATTTTTTTCCCCACTGTGGCCGCATGGTGTTTCAGTGTATGGGTATGCCATAATTTATTTATAATGACACACATTTAGGTTGTTGCTAATCTTTTACTGTTACAGACTATGCCTCAGCAAGCATGCTTGTGCATATCTTTGTATACATGTTCGAGAGCAGAATTGCCAAGTCAAAGAATATGTACATTTTAAATCTTGTTGTATGTTCTGAAATTGCTATTTAAAGGAGCTATACCAATTTATGTTTATATGTTTCATTTATAGTGAAAAATTATATACTAAAACCATAAAACTTAACCATTTTATTTAGTAATATCTCCCAATATTGGGGGAGTTGAAAAGGAGTTTCTGTACCAGCACTAATTCTAGGTGATGAGATCTTTCTAATTTTTCCACCTCATGAACATTATACAAAAAATAAACTATGGTTTTTTGTCAGGGAAAAAACACAGCTCAAAGTAACTTGACTAGTATGAGGGTCACAGCTAGGATCTCCTCACTGGAGCCTGTTTCTCTGCAGGCCTCATGTGGTCCGTTAAACCCTCTCTCTCCTTCCTTTATTCTAACTGCTGGACTCGACCTGTTAGCCTCCCAGTCCTTCCAGATCCCTTTCCACGTAGCTTATTGCCCATCTTACCTTGTCCTCCTTGTTGAGCTTGAATCACTTTTTCTTATACTCTAAGCACATTCCCTGGGCTTTTGAACGCACTTGCTCTAAAAAGCCCTCTAAAAAATACTGGAATTATTGCAGTCAGTTACCCCTACTCCCTGCTGAGCACTGTTGGAAAAAATTCATATCAAACCTTAAATTAGGCCTTTTGGTGTCTGATTTATAGCTTTCTTTGCCGGATTGCTATTCTGGGCCTTCAGTCTAGTACTCAAGACCCTGCCCACACCTCATTCCAGCAGGTGACATATCTTGTCATCTTTCAAAACCCTCCATCCTAGAATTTCTGTACTGTTTTCATGGACTTGCCTCTCATCCCACCATGGTCTGACTTCTAGCCCCACCATCTCACTTACACTATTCTCACCAGAGTTAATACAGTCCCCTGTTGTTATTCTACCTGACATCTCTCTTCAGTTTAGCACTGTTTACTGCCCTCATCTTCCTGAAATGTCATAATTTCCACACTGTTCTTTCCTTCTGCTTCTGGCTGTTCTGTTTCTGTTCTCTTTGCTGCTTCATTTACCTGCTGTTCTAACTTGGTGTTTCACTAAGTTCTGTCCTTAATTCTGTTACCACACAACATACTTAGAGTTTTAACCACATCAAAGGTTTTTATTACCACTTAAAGTAACTCCTAATCTGTACATCAGTCCACCGACTATTTGACTTCAGAGGAGTCTGTTCAACTATTTACCAGACTTTTCCACTGTGGGTACCTTCAAATCAATGGATAAAAAGTTAAATTTATAATCTTTTTCAACATACTGCATTCCAGACCTACTTGGATTTCTGTGTTCTTGATTCTGATTGGTATTCTAAGTTAGAGATCTGAGAGTCCTTATGGATACCTTCCCCCCTTATTCCTCACCCACCATGTGGTTCTATACTTCTGTGCCTCTGCCTGGAATAAACTTCCTTCTTTCCTTCTCTTCTTCCATTCCAGGCAGAATCAATCCCTCTCCTCCTTTTGTGCTGCTGCCTTACATTTTCCATTACGCTTTATTCTGTAATAGGCCTTCCACAGTACATATTTGTATATATTTCACATTCACAAAATACTGTGGCCTGTGATATGAAGTTTTTAAAGAAGGACGATTTATCACAAAGCACATGGTCTGGCACATAGTAAGTGCTCAAAGAATACTTGTGGAATGGATAGTGATGCATCTCCCCAAAGTGGAGATTGATCTTGATTTTTACCAAGGGAAAATATGTACTTTTTAAAGAAATGCAGAAACATAGAACTCAGCTCCAATTTTTATTTCTTCCTCAAAGTACAGGTTCAGTTATAATAATCACTGAAAACTTATTATTTTCACCTCTAGAAGAGTCTTCTGGATGTTATGGAAAACATCTGAATTATAAGTTCAGATCTTCCTTTCAAGAAAGTGCTATTAGAATTAACCAAAAAGAAAAAAACTTTATTTGCTTTTTGTTTTTCTTGATTTGCAAATAGAATTTGTTTCTACTCTAATAGGTGAAAAACCTTTTGAATGTCCAAATTGTCATGAAAGATTTGCTAGAAATAGCACCCTCAAATGTCACCTGACTGCGTGCCAAACTGGAGTGGGGGCAAAAAAGGGAAGAAAGAAGCTTTATGAATGTCAGGTATGTGCGGGTGTGTTCTGTCCTTAGGAAAGGACTTGGTGTTTGAAATCATTAAAAGTGAAGGGTAGCAGAGTCTAGAGTAAAAGTATAGAGCTGGCATTTGGAAAGAATGAGAGTAAAGAACATCATCCAGTATCTTGGATGGGAGATTAGAATAGGGTTTTTTGGGGGGTTGCCTTTTTTTTTTTTTTGTTAACCCCAATGTCAGTAAAATTATGTCCCAAATAATAGGTAATTTGAAACTGTTCTTAACTATCAAGTGAACATTAGCATTTGGGAGCAGGGCAGTGGAAAGCTCATTAGCTGTGATTGGCTCTTCTTCCGTGATTAGTGTGTATTTATCCCAAATAATGTAATGGTTCTAAATGCTAATGATATTATGTGGGAAATTCTAATATCGGTAGTTTATATTTCCTTGAATTTAGATGACATTTAAGTAATGAAGGCAATATTCTTTTTCCTAAAATGCACTTAAGTTGTTAGCTACATCAACTAAAAGACCAAATTAAAGAATTATGAAATCTCTTAGGTTACATTATAAATGTCCTATTCATAAACCTTTTTTAGAAAAATCTTCAAATTTTTCCTTACAGAGAATAAATGCATTCACGCTTTGGTTTGAGTATTAGTAATGTTAAAACAGTATGTTTGGTTAATTTCAGGTCTGTAACAGTGTGTTTAACAGCTGGGACCAGTTTAAAGATCATTTGGTAATACACACTGGAGATAAACCCAACCATTGTACTTTATGTGACTTGTGGTTTATGCAAGGAAATGAATTAAGGAGGCATCTCAGTGATACTCACAATATTTCAGAGCGTCTGGTAACCGAAGAAGTTCTTTCAGTAGAAACACGTGTGCAAACTGAACCTGTAACCTCAATGACTATTATAGAACAAGTGGGGAAGGTGCATGTGTTACCATTGCTTCAAGTACAAGTGGATTCAGCACAAGTGACTGTGGAACAGGTCCATCCAGATCTGCTCCAGGACAGCCAAGTACATGATTCACATATGAGTGAGCTTCCAGAGCAGGTCCAGGTGAGTTATCTGGAAGTGGGTCGAATTCAGACTGAAGAAGGCACTGAAGTACATGTGGAGGAGCTGCATGTTGAACGGGTAAATCAGATGCCAGTGGAAGTACAAACTGAACTTCTAGAAGCCGACTTGGAACAAGTGACCCCTGAAATCCTAAACCAGGAGGAGAGAGAGCCCACCCAAGCAGATGCTGCTGACGCTGCCAGAGAAGATCACGAAGATGCTAGTTTAGAGACCAGAACAGCAGTGGATTCCCAGGCTGAAAGGGCAGGGAATGAAAACAGAACACCTATGCCTGTTTTAGAATGAAATAACGAATATATTTTTAAATTAATGTGTTGGGTGTTTGATGATGGGGCAGTGTGACTGTCCTTAAGGTAACAGACAAGTGGACCAAAGTTAAAGTCTTTCTGTTGTGCCGAACTGTTTCTATTGAAACAAACTGATTCCCCGCTCACCCCCCGTCCCCCCACCCCCCCACACACACATAATGCTAAATAGGAGGGCTCTTTCCCATAAGTGAATGGGAAGCTTTGAGAAGTATTATTTCTGGAAACTTAAATGGATTATATTCTTCTTATATAGTTGGGTACGAATGTATCTATTTTCATTGTGATGATAAGGGTTCTCCTCTCTTTCCCAGGTCATGTCGTTTCTCAGATTTTTTTCCATGTTGTAAAATCAAACGTAAAATCATTAGAATACAAATTTGTGTATTCTAATGCATGTTAGAACATTGAATATATAGGAAACACAAGGCTGCATGAAGAAGAGTACATTGTTACTGTGCAGTTAAATTTTGGCTTCTGGCTTTCTTTAGTTTGAACAAACTTCTTGTCTATACTGATAGTCACAAATGTCATCTCTGCAACAGAAACGGTGGTGGCAAAATTTTGAGAATGTAAAAAACAAGAACAAAAACAAACAAAACCACACCCATGTGCCTTTTCAAAACCAACTAAACTTCTATAAAACGTCTCCGGTTCTTTCAAAGTTTGTGTTGTAAGGAGCAATGTAGGTGATGCTGTAGTAGTTTGTTTTTGCTTATAATGGCAACTAGCAATTCTTTTTCTTGGTAACTTAAGTTAAGGTGACAAATTTCATTTAATGGTATCTGAAGGGCCATTTCTGATTGGAAAAATTCATTTATATCTGTGGTAAACTTTTTTTTTTTTTAAATGAAAAGTTGCACTAGTATTTTACCACCAGATGAAAAAAAGGAGCATCGTTTAAAAATTAATGTATTTAAAATAAAGTACAGAGAAAAACATGTATATAATATATCAGGCTTCGTTTTGAATGAATCTTTTTCCCTGATCCTTAATGTAAAGATCTTGTGCTATAACTTTTAAAGCCATACAAATAAGAGTGCTAAACTGTGGACTTAAAAGTAGGTGTGTAAATATTTTTAATCAGTATTACTTGGAAAATAAAATATAACAACCACAGAAAATAAATCAATATGCTATTTTCTTTACCTGTTAAATATAGGGAGATATTTACATTTTTAAAGTAAAGTTTAAAATTATGTGTTCAAGACTCTCTTTTTTTCTTTTTAATTACTAGCGTAGAAGTTGTTTCGTGGTCAGAGATCTTTACTCATTCGGATTAACATGACTGATACATGAATTAAGATACACAGTTCTCAGTATTCACCTCTAATCCCCAAAAATCAGTTCAGAAGAACTGATTAAGAGGTTGGCATTTGTGGTTTTTCCGTGGTGGGGCATAATGGCCAACGGAATTTTTTAAGTAGAGCCTAATTTTTAATATACTTTGTCCACTTACTAGTGTGTGCAATTTAAAAGATCAGTCCAGCTTCTCATTTGGTAATCCTAATGGTTAAGTGGTATCACATTTATGAACTGTTTCAAAGGGAATGGCTTCCCACAAGTGGAGAGGACACAGATTTAGAGATAACACGAATAGGAGGTTGAGCTTTTATTTTAAGATAAAAAAAAGTACAGGAACATTTCCAAATCTGCTCCGTTCAGCACTTGCATACTTATACAAAGCTTACAGAGGTGTTTTCTTTAAAGTCAGGATATATGATAGAATTAAATTATATTACCTGGAATTTTCAGTTTGCCGTAAGATGTCCATGTTCCTGAGTTACTTGTAACTTGAAAAAAAAAATCCCTGACGGATAGTGGTTTCAAGTAGGTAAATTACTAGTTAGTATCTAGTGAATTTTGAATGCTGAAAATAGCTCATGATGTCCCCATTAAGCCAAGATATGAAGCAAGGTTTATTTTTAAACATAATCTTTAAAAAGCTCTGACAAGAAGGTAGAGATCAGGGACAAAAGCACAACAAAGTATTAAAAATTAACATTTGAGCGTTCAGGTTTGGCAAGGCCTTTCAAAACAGGTTTAAGGGGCAGATAGAGTTCATTTTACTTTTCCCAAAAGGTATAAAGGCTTTATCAGTGTACCCTGAATGCCGGTAAATGTGATTGCAGAAGGAGAGGAAAACCACCCACTGGTGATAAACCGTATGTTGATTAGAACTTTGCAGTTTGCAAAGCATTTTACATATAATAAAACAACTATGAAAAAGCATGATGTATATTTACGTTTAAGTACTGAACTGAACATTTTGTTCTTCCCATTTTACTCCTGGGGGGTTTTTAGGTCTACAGTGGCAGCTGGGCCTTGGAGTGCCTGACACTGGTCATCACAGGACTCCCAACGTGCACTGCAGAATGATAGGAGAGCCTCTTCTGTCACCTACTCCACTAGTTCTCTAACCCCAACTGGGTGTCCAACAAGTCACCTCCGACACCAGCCAGAGTTAGCACAGCCTCCATAAGTTAAGTGATCAGTAGTAGCACAAGACTGCCCTTGCTTCAGACAGTAGCTAAAAATGGGGTACCCAGGATGCCTGCACTTCTGCCCTGCCGACCACAAATCGGGTTCCCACCCTTGTCAGGCTCAGTACACTAGAACAAGTCAGTACTGAGGAAAGCACCACACTTCTGAGTATGGTTTTATTATAAAGGGTACAACCGAGGTGCACCTGGCTGGTTCGGCTGATTAAGAGTATGCGTGCGACTCTTGGTCTCTTGAGTTGTAAGTTCGAGTTCCACGCTGGGTGTAGAGATTACTTAAAATCTCTTTTAAAAAAATCCAGAAACAGCCAAATGGATGCATAGGGCATTGGGGGTTGTGGGGGGTGGGGGGTGAGTGAGTAGAGCTTCCCGGCCCTACTGGTGCTGCACTCTCCCACACATGGATGTGTTCACCAACCTGGGAGCTTTCTTAACCCCTTAGCCTTTTTTTTTTTTTTTTTTAAACTAAAGTTTCATTACCTAGATGTGATTGATTAAATCATGAGCCATTGTCTGTTGAATTTCCTGTCCAGCCCCTCCTTCCTAGGTATCTTGGGGTGTCACTGATAGTTCTAGCCCTCTAATCATGTGGTTCCTCTCATGACCACTGCCAAGATCACCTCATTAACATAAACTCTGGGATGAGTGAAAGGGAGCTTACGATAAAAGATCTCACTCAGGAAATTGTGAGGGTTTTAAGAGCTTTGTGCCAAGAACCGGGGTCAAAGACTGAATACGTATTTTTTATTATACCACACCTACAATCTGAGATTCAAAGGAACACTAAACTGAACCTTAATAATACATTTAAAACCCAGAAGTCTTTTGAATATGTGCAAAAACAGAAGATTCTTACAGTCTTACTAGTTCAGAAATGCTACCATCCTCATGCACTGTTGAAAGTTAGGAATATTTTTGTGGAAATGTAAATGCTTCCATTTCTGCTTCAACTTGGAATTAAAGATTTCAAGATTGAAAGGATCTTTGAGGGTCTAGACTACACACTTTATAATTGGAATAAACCAACAGTACTGAGGCCTAAATGTAGATTAAAAGTACACCAGAATATCAAGTACGTCTTAATGGACATCTTCAATTTAACATAGGTTGTTTCAAACACATGATCAGATGGCCATTAAGGTGTTCACGTGGAAATCCTGTTTTAGAACTATGTCATGCAAAATTAAAAGAAAATGCCTGACGTTAAAAGTTTAGCCTCATTCTGTTGGAGAAAATAGCTTTGCTTTCATTAGGTTAACACTGTTGGCTGCATCAGGAGACGGGGGACCTGAGCTCAATGTTTGTGAGATACAATGTGCTGAGCTGTGCTATGGCTCTTACAGAATTTGTCATAAAAGATTTAAATGAGAAGCAACAGGAATTAAAACTATTAAACCCTCACCATCACCACTGATCAATAGGTCCTTTGTAGTTAGCTGGAGGCCTAGAAGTATATTTCTTTAAAATGGTAAATGCAGAGGCTGTCATTATAAATGTATTCTGACCTTATGGGGATATCTTAAAACTACTCTGTGTTGTATAAACATTTGCTTCATTAATCCTGTTGACGTAAATAGGAAAGCAGGCTGTGAATGTAGTATTTTCTTCTCACCTTTCCTAAAACCTATGTCATACATAATTATTCACACGCCTTGTTGGGCATTGCATCAAAATATAGGCTAGATAGAAAAATCTCGTAACATAATAGCATCATTTATGAATCACTTGCTATATGCCAGACACCATTTAATCATTTCAGTGACCTCATGAGATAAATATAAATGGAGGAATTAAAAGAAGGAGATGAGAAACAGCTGGTAAAGAATGGAGCCAGTATTTGAAACCAAGGAACTTGACTCCATAGACTAGTCTTGATCACTAAAATACAGTTACCTTTGTATGAGATCTCTTTGTGGTTGACAACATTGGCCTGCACAGAGCAAAAGCTAAATATCCATCTTCTTTTTGTAATCCACATTAGCCCCTGATAGGGCTTGGGGTGGAGGGAACAGGAGATCAGAAAAGCTGGCAAGATACATGCAGTCAATTGTCTTTTGGTGTCCCCTTGCCCTGAGACCATACCATCTAGGCAATCGTTTTCTAACTTAGTGTGCATCAGAATCTTGCACATCGCGAGGCCCCACGCCCGGAGTTGCTGATTCAGATGGTCTGGGTTAGGGCCCAAGAAAGTGCATGTCTAACAAGTTCTTGGGTACTACTCATACCCTCAGTCCTGGACCATTATCAGTTGAACAACAGACATAGGGCACTTCAAGGAAGCACAGATGAGTAGCCATTGGAATGCGCCTTTTTGACAGTCTCTTTTTTATACTGCAGCCAGGTGCTACTCTAAAAATATCCTGTTAACTATTGTTCATGTTTATCGTTCATGTAATGGACTGGACTAAGGCAGTTGTCTTAGGTTTTGCAATTTCAAGCAAGTACATTCTGCTTATTTTCAGTTAATAATTTCTTTTCTGTTTCTAAAGTGAAAATGCCACAAA